AAGTGGTTATAAAAGGCCCCCTACCCCCCAAGAACAAGGTATGTGAACTTTGCGCCATCTGGTTTTATCCTGCCTTTGAGAGAATTCTAACTTGAGCTTCGGAGCATTCATACTGGGTTCCCCCCGGAGCTTCCTCATCTTCTCCGTTTCAGGCTCCCCGTATCTCTGCCCAGAGGCAGAATCGTTGACAGCTAGGATCAGCCGGATTGCGCACCATCATCTTTTGTTAGACCGAAGCAACACTAGTGATATGGGTTCACAGTGACACAGCCATACAGGAATGTCAATTGTCAAGGAATGTCACCTCGCATGTGGAGATACCACATGCCCGGACGAATTGCTCCTCGTTGACAATGGTGGCGATACTGGAATTGCTGTGAATATATATGGCTAGAATTATTTCTCAGATTCTATATTATATTGTTCTAGCAATTCTTTTTTTTGATTGTTCTGAACGTTTTAATTTTGCTTTAGTTATCTGATTCGGTATTTTTATTTCTTTTCTATTTGAATTTGTTTAGGACAAAAAATGCGGCTTTTTCAAGTGGTGTGACATGGTTCGTTCTGATCGAAGGTGTGATGTTCCCCAGTCTTCGTATGGTGCTGAAGTGCACATTCCTACACTAAAAAGTAGGGGGAATGCATGTATTGGGGAAAAGGTTAACTTTTCATCCTTGATATTCTTAGCACTTCCACAATTAGTTTTTGACATTCTGACATATCATTAGTTAAAAATGAGTTTTTATTCTTTGTTTGAACATAATTCTGCTCTGTTATAATTGTTCTCAAAATTTCCTATCAGAATTAAATTGTGCTCAAATGATAATAGAAACAAAATAACTAAATATACTCCAATGTTCTTCTTATCTGGGTGAAAATTTGTACTATAGACTTATAATGTGTGTTCTGTTATTTATTATTGTATTGTTTTTTTCCTACATAGCATGGTATGTACTTTCCCTTTGTTATTGATAAAAAAGGTATGTACTTTCCCAACAATTAGTTTGTGAATGGGTAATAGATTTTGTACACTTCTGGTGGTCTTAATATTTTGATCATGGTCCTTTCAATTTTGTCAGATTCATATTGGACAACAGTGTTTTAAAAGCGCAGGGCGCAAAAAAGGCGCAGGGGTCAATTTGCGCCYGAGGCACAAGGCGAGGCACGCGTCTTTTTGAAGGAAGGCACAAAAATAAAAAATAGAAAAAGTCATAAAATTAAAAAAAAAGCAAAAAAGTGGAAAACATTAAACATAATATTAATAAAAAATATAAACTTATATTTTAAAATAAATGTTTTAAAAAACCTATTATCTAAAATTAAAATACATAAAAATAACATGTATAGCGTATTCAAATGAGAATTTAAAAATAAAACCAAATATATAAAACGTTTTCAAGCATGTAAAACCCATAGTTTTTTTTTTTCCCCTCAATTGCATTAGTTCAAGTAGCTAATGTGATGTAAAACATATTACATTCCTAATTCTATGAGCCGCCTTTGTGCCACGCCCTCGAGGCAAGCCCAAACAAGTCCATATTAGGGTCTTAAATTCTTAGTTCTCACACAAAAAATAACGATTTTATAATAATTGCTTTTTAAGAAGATGAACAAGGCACAAAAAAAGCGTCAGATTTTCAAAAGGCACATGCTTGGGCTGAGGTGCAAGGCGCATCAGGCGTGCACCTTTTGAAAGGGCTGTGTCTAGGATCTGGGTGAGGCACATACCCTAAAATGTGCCTCGCCTGTGCACCTCAAGGGTTGAATGGTCCAACTATCTCGTTTGATTGTTTGACTCATTCAAATAAGAAATGCAAATGCAAAACAAAAAGAAGAGAAAATAGTTCAAGATTATTTTTTAAAGCTAATTTATATCTAAGTAGCTTGAATCAATAGATATTATAGGTTATAACAGGTTTTAACATGAATATTTGATTTGGGTTTAATCAAATCACATTTCTAAGAACCAGGCAGCTTAAAAACCATTTTGGCTGCTGTTCTTTGTTCTAATGGTTCAACCAATCAGTCTATTCTGAGTCTGATGATCTTTGGGGGCTTTCTTGTTATGGCAGGGAATATTTGGTTGCCAGTTACTGGTTCTAATAGTCCAATTGTCTCTGATCCAGTCCGAGTCAGATAAAATGGAAGATACTTCTAGAGTGCTTTTACATTTTGTTTTTTTAAAGCTAATTGTCTTATTTGGTACTAATATTGTGATTTTTTTTATGGTAAACATTTGTTGAAATGTGCTGCTTCTATATTTTTGTTGACAAGACAGATATATAATCTCTGCAGAGGTAAGACTGTAAATTATGAAAATAGTGAACTCCTTCCATTGGAATCCTATATTTTTTTGAAAGATGAGAAATTTTATTAAATTTAAGGGAAAAACGATACAAAATCCAGAAGGGAGGGGGATCCTCAACACCCAAAAGGTAAGAAGAACAAACAGCAGCCAAAACAAGGCTACTGAACATAAATGATTACAATATAGCAAAATAATCTCAAATGATGTTACCCTAGTGATCTTGAAACTGACTACCACAAAGCACCCAACTTGGGAAGCCCATTTAACCAGCAAACTCTTGATGCAGCCACACACCTTCTCCACTTCTTCCATCTGATTCTCAAAGGTCCTGTTGTTTCTCTCTCCAAATCCCTTAACAGACATCAAGAGGAACCATTTATCATAAAATTTTACCTCACTTTCAAAAGGCCTTCACTTTCCATGAAGAGATTAGGCTCTATTGATGTCAGCAGGGAGGGCCCCTCGACAACCAAACAAAGAAAACATATGGATCCATATCTTATAAGAGAAATTGCAATGCAAGAGCAAATGCTGAATGAATTCGTGCTTCACCACAGATATAAACATCTATTTATAATAGTCATTCCTTTGGATCTGAGGATATCAGTTGTCAAGATTCTGCCCTTAATTGCCATCCAAAGGAAAAATATCACATTAGAGGGGACTTTTTGCCTCCAAATCCAGCACTAGTGAACCTTTATACCTTCTGAAGTGGCAAGCTTTTTGATCAGTGATTTGACAGAAAATGCACCTGACCTTTCTTGAGACTACCGCATTCTATCAGGTTGTAGTGGCTGAATTATAACCTGGTTAATATCTCTCACTAGAGCCATGAGAGCCTCCAGATCCCACTCATTAACAGGCCTTTTCAGGTGAGGATCCCAGAAAAACTAACCTCCAACAATCTCATAGCACTCACTTCGGCATATTTATCTTCTGCCATTGCAAAGATACTAGGAACTCTATTAATATCCATGTGGTACTTGGTCTCAGTATAAATGTTTCTTATCAAGATGGATAATTTAGGCATGTTCAGTTATCTGTACTGTAGTCCATAGATATCCTCAATTTTACACTTGGTGCAACAGTATTGTTAGCAAACAAATGTGTCCACATACCTATTATGGATGGTTCAAACCTTGTTTATTTTATTTTTTATCCATCCTTTGTTTTTAATTACCCTACGTCACAGGATTTATTAATTATATATGGAATATAACACAGAAGACAAGAAGATACATTATAGTAGTAGGTGATCTCGTATCCAAGACTATGATTTGGATAGCTGTTTTTACCTATTTTTGGCTTGCTGCGACTTTCCCTTAACTTTTTCCTTCTGCTATGATTACTTGGTATCTGCAGTCTCTTTACAAGATATTAATTATTCATTATATTGCGTCATTTCTAGTTCATCTATGCTCCATTCCTATTCTTTAACTTTTGCAATAAAGTAATATAAGCATTCACAACAACATATATTTTTATTGTTAATCCTTGCAGGTAAACTCTGGGTCCGGTTATGGACGAAGAATTCCCGAGTCAGAGCCTAGCCCTAAGAAGGAAGAATTGCCTGATTCCAGAGACCAAGTTAGGGATTATCAATCTATTTCTCAGAGGGATAGATGTTTTCACTGCCTAAAGCAAGGGCATTGGGCTCATGAGTGCCCTAACAGAACCACAAAGAAAATAGAGCTTTCTGGAGGCAGGCCTACCATAGTTGATACTGCAGTGTACCTCAACAAACAATGCCCTTGTGGGGTTGGAGCTTGCCTCATTTTGACATCAAATACAGAGAAGAATCCTGGGAGGAAGTTTTATAGATGCCCCGGTAAAGCTGTGAGTAAATTTTCTTGGCTATCTGTTGTTTATTAAGTTTCATCTAATGAAGGTACCATTTATCCTTTGAGAACGTGGACAAATAACCAACACTTTTGGTAAGGTCTATTGGGTTCTATTCAAGGAAGATTTGTTTTGCATAACTTAAGTCAGATAGAAATGAAGAGAAGAGCTATAGTGCATAGAAAGGATCATGCGTTTGAGCTGAAGAGTGTTTCTTTTCTTGCCCAAGAAACCCTACCCGCCCTTCCTGGTTCCTTTCATTGGTTGCAGTGTGAATATTTTGTAATCAAAGTAGTTGAATTGCCTCCAATGGTATTATCAAATCACAAATTGTGTAATTATCCTACAAAGAATTAACATCTTGAAGTAATGGTAAGCTGATGTATTATGTGATTTGGGTAATTGGTTGTAAGAGGCATACTGCTTGTTGGCATTTTAATTAACTAGTTTGTTTTCCTGGTATGTAACTAATAAGTTGTTTCCCATGGAATTGCTATTTTAGGAAGTTTTGATGTCCAATTTATCTGTTTTTATTTTTTTTTGACAAAATAAAAGTTATGGATGCCTTAAATTCTCACATACCACACTTTTGATTAGATTATTTGATTTTATGGTCTTTCTTGACAATAAATCCGATTGAAATATGAGGAAGTAGAGAAGAGAGAAAGGAGAAGGAAGAAAGGAAGAAGAAAAAGTTTGGAGCAATAGAACAGTGTTGGTGGCGCCAACTTTTAATATATTATATAGGGTGGCAAAAACAAGAAGGGAAAAGACCCTTGTGCCCCTGCTGTAAGTGAGTACAATAACAAAAAGAACAGAAATAAAAAAACACTTTAACTAGCCAAACAGACCCTAACACAAATAACTAAATTATTTCAACACTCCCCCTCAAGTTGGAGCCTAGATGTCAATCTTGCCCAACTTGTCACACAAATCATTGTGCCACACATGATTAAGACCTTTGGTGAAGATATCTGCAAGTTGTTCTTTTGAGCTGACATATGGAGTACACACTTCTCCATTTACAAGTTTCTCTCTAATAAAATGCTTGTCCACTTCAATGTGTTTTGTCTTATCATGCAGGACTGAATTAGCAGCACTATTGGTGGTAGATTTATTGTCACAGTAGAGTGACATAGGATTGCTCACTGCAAAACCCAGTTCACCTAACAGATTTTTTATCCACATGATTTCCGCAACCCCATGAGACATCGCTCTATATTCTGCTTGAGCACTAGATCTAGCCACCACACTTTGTTTTTCACTTCTCCATGTGACCAGGTTTCCCGGAGCTGGTTTGTTGTTCCAGAAACATGGTCAATTAAAGGTGGAAGTATATATTGATGCCGATTGGGTAGGAACAGTCGATGACCGAAAGTCTACCAATGGGTAGGAACCACCTTTGTAGCTTCAAAGTGAGTTGTACTAGGATTGTGCATGAACTGACTAAGGACACCCACTGCATAAGCAATATCAGGCCTGGTATAGACAAATACAAGAGTCTCCCTACGAGTCTCTGGAACTTCTTCACATCTTTTAAAAACTTTCCCTGACTGTCTCCCAGTTGATGATTAGATTCAATTGGTTTTACCCCCAACTTGCCTGTATCTTCTAGTAGATCTAGTACATATTTCCGTTGAGAAATAAAGATGCCCTTGTGAGAGTGGGCAACTTCAATTCCAAGGGGCCTAGATCTTTTACCTCAAATTGAGTGGCTAAGAATTTTTTTGGTCTCCGTATTTCAGCCTTCCAATCTCCTGTGATCACTATGTCATCCACATACACAATAAGAGCTGGAATTTTCCCTTCATCTCTTTTCACAAATAGAGTGTGATCTGACTAGCATTGTTTGAATCCCATCTGTTGAACTGCTAAATGGAACTTATTAAACCAAGCCCGAGATGATTGTTTCAACCCATATTAAGATTTTTTTAACCTGCACACCTTTTGTTCACTGCCTTTGGCACAGAAACCTGGAGGTTGGGTCATGTACACTTCCTCTTCCAAGTCACCATTCAAGAAAGAAGGATCCTGATAGAGTTCATCTTGGCTACT